TTTTAAAAAAGAGAAAAGTAAAAAAGTTACACCACTTCATGCATTAACAACAATTATCATATTTTTATCATAAACTTTTTCTATGATTCTTTTAAATTTCAACATTTGTTCTTCAAGTTTTAAGTCCTTTGTCTTCCAAACATTTTTTTTGTTGTCGTTCAAATATTGCACTTATTTCAGCACGAATCTCACTTGTTAAAATTTTATCATTTGCAAAAAGCAAGCACTAAGGCACGATATTTTAAAATATCTATGTCAACTATTTCCATAATCAAGATAAAGAGATACAAACTCATTGCTATTATTAAATGTAATTTAATTATAATTGTAAAATCTTTTGTCTATTCACGATTATTAATACCATCCATTGCTCGCTATATATGTTTTTAATTTCAATATGCTTTTGAAACACCTAGTGGGATTAGGGCTTTGTTGTTGTTGTATGCTTTTGAAACACACGTTTAGATTTAATGTGCACCAAATAATTCTTAGGATACATGATTATGCCTTTTCAAGGTAAATAGAAGTCATATAATTTTTCCATTTTTTTGTATATGTTTTTCTCTTTATTATTTTAGCAAAAAAAATTCTTATATTATACTTAGACTATTTTAATTCTATATTCAATGTATAAAGTTTGATTTTACTAGTATCAGTTTATTTAGTTAGCAAATTTTGATTACTTTGCTTTGAAATGTTGCTTAAACACTGACGGTTTTTCATCAATATCAGTTTTGTAAATAAGTATCATTTGTGTTTGAAGACATTTTTAGTAACATGTGTAATTGAGCAGCTATGATAATCGCTTCAATTGTTTCAGCTCAATATGGGGACCATTTAGTTATTAATTATTGTTGTTAACTTTGTCAACATAATTTTTTTTGTGCTTATAAACAATTAACTGTCGTGAATTTGTGTTACCGTCGATGTGGCACTTACGTATGTTATTTCTTCTTTTATTATAAATTTTCTAACTTAAAGTTCTACATGAATTAGCATGACTTTTTGTTCAATATGTTTGCTTTTTTTATAAAATATTTAAGATTTTTTTTCCAGGATGGTTTAGATGGTGATAAGTTACAGGCATCTGAAAAGAGTCAAAAATCTAGTGCCATCCTTGCTAGGGCTGGAGCAAATAGAGTTCTTCATGATCAGGCTCCGGTGAACCCTTTGGTTTGATATTGCTTTCATAATATCTAACTTTAAATATTCTGGGTTGACTTTATGAATACTTCTGCTATAATTATCTCCGCTGAGAGCTGCAACAACAACAACAACAAGCATTTGTCACTGAGTGGGTTCAAATTATCCCCATTGAGAGCTGCATTTCAAGTTAATTCAAGTTATTTTCTATGGTCAAGTGCCTAAGAAGTATCCAAGTCTTAACTGTGACATAAAAAAAAAGTTTCTTTGATTTTACTGCATTATTAATCACCAATTTTCTGGTAATTAAATTGGTAAACTTAGAGGGTTCCATTGATCTTATAAAATCCATTTTTCTTTTATGGAAATTTGGAACAGGGAGTGCGCCACTTTCAGATTCTGATAGACATGGTTCAACTGGTATTCCATTGAGAAAAAAGAACTATATGAATCTATCAATTAATTTTGTACACAGAATCATATGAAATTTCAAACATTTCAGGAAGTTCAAGCGGAAGTGGACCCATTTGAGGCAATTCGTCCATTTTTGGTGTTAATGAGAACCATGCACCAGCAAATCCAATAAGTCTGTTACTTTTCCTTCCCACAAATTGGAACGTTCACTCTTTATCATCCAACTAAGCGAGGTTAGTGTCATATTAAACTCAATGTTCGCTCAAGTTTGGCAATTAGATTACTTTCTTACGACTTCTAAACTGTGGTTTGCTGCAATATAGCCTCTAGTCATCTTGAAGCGTGCAAAAAATCAATTGGAGCATGAGGCTTTGGAATTTTCCATTACAAAATCAATCAGAATATTCTGTGACCTTGTCTGATAGCTAATACTAATGATCGTCATAATTTCATGTGTTGTTATTTTTGCTGCTTTAATTGTGATGTATATGTGGATCTACTGCTTTCCAAGATGAAATTTGCATATTAGAAGTGTTTCATAATTATAGGCTGGGCGAAGCATGTATGTTTGGATTTAGCTGATGTTTCTCCTAGTTCAATATTCTTCAAACTTCCCTGCCATTTTTTTTTTTGGAAGATTTACATCCACTCAATTCTTATTTACGTATCTAACACCTAAATTTCAATTTCTACGTTATTTACGTACCTAACACCTAAATTTCAATTTCTACGTATATGCCACCCTACCTATGCATGAAATGGTGTATTTCACTTTTATTAACTTAAAATAATGATTTTTGATGTGAGAAGAAATTTGGGTGGTATGAATATAAAAATCGAAGTTTAGGTTGTAGATACGTAAACGCATAGGAATTTGGTGGTATGCGTGTAAATGCCCCTTTCTTTCATTTAAAATGGGTGAGTTTCGTAAATTATTGTCTTGTTTTATTTATTTGTTTATCATTCATTCGATTTATTATTTGTGGATTAATTTGGTACTGACTAAGGCATGTAATATTAACAGGAAAAGTTGTCGCGCCTTTTGGTTATTTCATTGGGCAAAACCGTGTGGATTGATTTGGTACTAAGGCACGTAATATTAACAGGAAAAGTCGTCGCGCCTTTTGGTTATTTCATTGGGCGAATCCCATAGCCGACTCTCGTGTCTACTGTTTAATGAAAGTGGCTCAACAGAAAAGCTGTATATAAAACTAAATTTTTTTTTTCATTAGTTTGGGCGACATTCACCTTGTCAACGAGTGAGTTGATGTTGTATTGATGTTCATATAATTTGTAATACAAGTCTAGTTCTATGAATGCTTTGTTACTATCTTCAATTTTTGTGTTGCTTGTTGGTTATTTTTCACTAGTTTTATTTAAAAATTTTTATATATGTTATATATCATACTCTTTGTAATTTTTTTTCTAATAACTAACAGTTTGTCCACTTGCTCAGATGAATCATACAAAAGGAGAGCTACACAATGTTTTTATCAGGAAATTTTCCATGTAATTGCCAAAATAATTTTTAATTATTAGTTTCATAAATTCATTCTTAGATTCATCATGATTTTGTTCTTTAATTATTAGTTTAATAAATTCATTCTTAGAGTCATCATGATTTTATTTTCTAATTATTAGACTAATTCTAATTAAGTTAAGCTCATTCAACGTCTGTTCTTTTAATCAGAAAAAATTTTTTTTATGACATGCTTCGAGAACAGATGATATAGCTGCCAAGGGATAAAAGATAAGGGAAACACTTAGGGTTCTGCAGTGGACCTACAAGATAATATTTCTATCTAACTGCAATTTACCAGAAATCATTGCTTGGGTCTATTATTTTAACTATATGATCCAATATTGCTAAAAATGAATCTCTTTTTTTAACTTGGACCGAGTTGTCATGAGCCAAAATTTTGGCTCAGTTGGATCTTCTGGTTGATTTTGAGCTAAGCTATGATTCAATTGAACCGACTCAAAATCTGCTTATAGTATAAATATTGTGTACAATTGTATTTATGCATCTATACACAGATACATTGAGCCAAGGATTTGTTTTAGACAAACAAAAATCAATTGAATCATTAATATTAATTGCTTAATATTATATTTTCTTGCTTTATTTTGATCTCAGACGCTCGAGGAACTGGCACTTGAGACAGACACTGTGGAAAAGGGTTATTCTCTTGATTCAGATTCAACCAGCTTGCATAAGTCCAAGGCCTATCTTCTGCATTCTTCTCGTCATCGAACGACTACAATTCACCTTGCAAGGCTTTGTCGGAGATCCAAAGATCCATGAGATCAATCCACTGTGGAGAACACTTGCCTTCCCCGTACCCCGGCCTTGATGCTGATGAACCTGTTTCTAATCCTCTAGTGGATGCTTAAGGGCTTTCCTAAGGCAGCAAGTAAGCTTGTTCTATTCTTGGAGTCAACCTCCTATAGCTGATTTTTTGTGTCGCACCCACATT